TAATCATTCTCCAAATATTAAGCCTTGACATCTATTTTCAGTTTTGAAGCAGAAGGGAGACCCTTACTTCACCATTCGCTTAACTTTTCATCTCGAATAAACATCAATGTAATTTGGTCATAGAAGCCTAGTCAAGCCATAGAAATAAGGTGGTGCAAAAATAGGGTACCAAAATTCAATCATAACTTGAAAGTGTAATATCAAACTCACAGTCTTCAGAAGGATTTTCTTAGAAGGATAGAAAGGCTGAAGAATAAATATTATTACAAAATAATTACTGATTTTCGATTGGACATATAAAATACATAATATACAATAAACTCTGTTCTACTGGTGAGAAATGGAATTTGAGAATGATGTTAGGTGATATGGTGACACATGTTGGGGATTACATTTTGTGTTGAGTATATTTGCCATCCATGAGAGAATATTAATTAGCAACATGTTTTCTATGATTAAGTGAGGATTGAATCCTACCAACTAGATTTCCAGATAGATCACTCAGTTAGGTATCAATAATCTTCTTAAGGTAATTCCGTTCGGATACACAAAGTCAATGAGTAGAGAACTATGAGTCTCAGTTTTGTGCTTTCCTTCAATTTTCAGGGACTCATATCCAACTAATTGAAGCATCTGAAGACTTTTCATTCAATAGATTCTGTAACAACCGAGAAACATTAGTACTGAGTTAAATGGAAGTAATTACTACTCATTAGCAATAAACAAATGACTGAAGTGTTAGACAACTGCACACTTTCCTTCACATGATGATGTGAACAATATATGTCAGCAACCTGTGTGATTACACCTGTACATTATTCTCTGATGGAACATAATTTCCATTCAAGTTGGAGATGTGCTTTCATGAATGGTGCCGATAAACCATAAACAATAAAACTAAGTACTGGACATTTGTCAATCGACTTCGAGTATCCATCAAAAAGTATCGTCGTTGTTGCTTTAGGTGATACTTTTTACACGATTGTATTTGATGTTGATCAGTGTCAAATTGAGAAGAAATACTATTGAGTTGTGTTGTGAAGTCAAGTAGCAGAATGTCTACAAGTGTCATCACTACAGAACAGATAGTGGGAATTTCCATGAAGTGATCTTACTAGATGAGTTTGTTTCAGCTTGAGTTGTACTCCCACACTCAAGGTATCTATGAGGTACATTGATTGTAGAATACTAATGGGAGAGATGTATATGTGATGAAGGTGTTTGTGACAGATATACACAAATGTTTAGAAATGAGTTGAAAACTAAGTAGACTGAACTTCATACAGTCTATATGGAAGCATTGTCGTCATCAGTATGGTGTTGGAGTTTGAATGTAAGCTGAATGTTGATGATGATGATGATTGAAGAGATATGGTTGTGACCTTAGGAGATTCTTAATACGACTGCATTACGTAGGTGTTGAATGTACAGATTAATAGATCAGCTGAACTTCTGAGGTGTGTCTTATGCATAGTGCTTTATGGAATGAGGAAAGTCTTATAATGACTATCCGTCTATCTGTCTATCTATCTATCTATCTATCAAGTAACTGAAAGGTTATCAAAAACATGACTGCAACTCATCGTGTTGATTCAAAGGGATGTCGAAGGAGATGTTGAAAGGTAGTTGTTTTCCAGAAGGTTATTTGTATATTCAAAACACTGGCAACATTGTGATTGTCTTCACATAATGATGAATTCTTCACTTGGCTCATCTACTTTGTTTATTCGAGCCTGTCTTGTCAGGTATTCCAGTGTGTGTCAATCAGTCTTCAGAGAGATTTACAAATGCAGTAGTGTTAAGATTGTTGGTAAGACAATTAACTAGGTTCCTTATCGGAACAGTATGTCAGTGACAAGATGACAACATTTCAGAGATGTACTAGTAAGGTTGAATTAGGTGTGTTGAGTTTATGAAATTTCTTATTGAATATGTGGAATAGTGTGTGAATCACATATCATAACATCATTTTCTCATTGACTGACTGAACTCATAACCCATTGGTACTGAGAATAACATCAAATATTTGTGAAACAAAGAGTTTATAGAAGTTGTGATGCAATTATTGGAGAATAAGTTGAAAATGTTGGTTATGATTCCCCCTCGAGACCAAAATATTGAGGCAGTAATGTCCTTTCTACTTCACACTACAAATGGGATCATAATAAGGAGATTAAATGCTGGCAATACCGACTTGACTGTATCATTCAATGAGTCGACTTCCACTGCTGATTGACTAGCTTTCTGAAAGCAGTAGAAATGACTGTCGAGTGTTAACAGGACGGGGTTCTGAGCTATGAGTACTAGCAAGTGGTATGATTATCGTATAGTCACTGGTTTCTGTGAGTGTGATACATTGTAAGACTTTTACATTTGATGCGAAACGTGTACGATGGAACTGTGTCGTAGTCTACTCAATATTTGATGATGTTGAGATGAATCTTGTGTTGGTCATGAACATGGGAGAATTTGAATGTGGGATCACACTGTCATTCAATGTTTTCTCCTAATGGTGAGATCGATATTGAAACGTATCGAATATCCTTTCTCCTCGTAAAGAGAACTGAGCTGAACTGCCATTAGTTTAGTGGATTACATCAGAGAGCATGAAGATGACTACAAACGTTTTCAAATACAAAGTTAATTTGAAGTAAATGATTTACAAATGAAATTTGGATTGAAATGCATACGTCAGAAGTTTACCACTGTTCTCTACCTCCCTGTATTTATTTAAGATAACAGCATGATGCATATTTTTTGAATGGATCAAATGCAACCAGGAAGGTGGGACACTCTGTCCTTCTATGAGGCGAAGAATTTTCAGTGCGCATTCACAAAGCCCCATGGATGAAGTTACTTGTTGTGACTTATTCATTTTACTTTGTGTAATCAATCATATATTCATTAGCAGATATATAAGTGACACTAATCATGTACATAATTACTGATCTTCATAATCTTTGAGTTGTAAGTTCTGTACAGAGTTGCCAACACTGAGTTAAAATAATGCAGGTTGTATATAAGATGTACTCAGTGGCTAGCAGTAGTATCCGGCACATTCGTTTCGTCCCGTCTAATTCTCATCAGCTGGATGAATCTACACCTCATTGAGTAATGGTGTTTTTATTAAGACACGTACCGAGTACTCCTCACATCAAAACTTCAGAGAGTTATTTGCTAGACCACTGAGGCAAGAGATACACCTCTTGCATGACGCGTATAGGCTAGATGTCTTAGCTTTAACTGGACAGTTACAGCAGTCGAATGAAGACTTGGTTTATGATTTCTATTCCATGTCGACATCGATTACGGAGCCACTGAAGCATCACGGAATACTGAACAGCTCTTTGAAATTTCTAAGCTAGATTCACCCATGACTTCACTAGTAATCGCAAAGCTTACTCTCCAGCCTTGTAACTTGAAGTCTTATCATCCAAGATATCATAACTTCAGTCAGTTTGCCACATAGCATATTTCGTTTCCTTCAGTGTCATTGACTTTATGGAACACATTTCCCTCTGAGGTTACCTGTGAGTTTGTGGAGAAAGTGGTCATTCATCTTCATGCTACACAGAATGTTTTACTTTCAAGAGTTCTATAAAAATATTTCCCTAAATCGTACCTGTGTATAAAAAGTTTTCGCTATGACAATCGAATTGTAATTTTTATGGTTACGGTACCAAGAGACATGGGTGTGAGTCTTATAGAGGAGGATATGGCTATCTTCTTTATTATTGGACGAATATTAAACCCACAGTTCCCGATGAATACCAACCCGAAATCAATCAGTCCCCACTCCCCCAAACTCAAACTGATTTGCTATCCAGTCTTCATTAGTGATAAGCTTCGAGGTGAGATTTCCCAAAGTTAGAGTGAGTACTCGTGACCGATGGCGCAAACCAAGCAGGGTGTGAGGACGGTGATGGCTTTAGATGGCGGTTGTTCCACATCGCCAATTGACGGGACTAAGAAAGCGAGGACCATTGGATTTCGATCTAGTCGCCCAATGGTAATGTACTGACCACAGGACCTGGGCTTGACTCGTGGTGGGACGGGGTCACAGTTTTGTACTGCTGAGGAGTTCCATTCCAGGACAAAACAGTTTTCCAGTGCTTTCAGGTTTTTAATAGTCCTCTAACTGAAGTCAACCTTTGACGAATGCCATCTTGAAATCAATAAGTCCCATGAACCTATAAATTTTTCAGAAACTTTTACACTATAGACTTAAGCACAGCAACGATATTCTCGTTATCACTAGAAAATGCATCTGCCCAATTATTATTATTATTATCATAATCATCATTTCTATCAATATTATTTAGATCGATTTTTTGGGAAACAATAATAGTTGCTTAGTCCTCGTATTTGAGATCGTCTAAGCTTGTACATGAGAGTGTAAATGTGTAGGTTTGTTGTAGATGGGTTTGTATGTGCGTGTGAATGTATGTACACGAGTAACCTTATACTGGTAATCACACTGTCAAAAATTCCTTTATTCTTTTGTGAAAAACACGTGTATTTACAAACACATTCCTACACTTTCAATTGTTTGTTGGTCTGGCCCAGAAAATTTTTCATACCCTTTTCTTTGCGAAATCCTTTTCTTCCTAGACAGACAGATATGTAAGTAAGCAGAAAAAAAAGAAAACAGACCGGGTTTTTTCTCATCTCTCTTTATTTTCATGCATGGTCATTTTGTCTTTAGATGAAAAGACAACAGAACACGTTTGCAATGTTGGTCACTTTTACCTACTTTAATATACGTATTTGCAGATACTGGAACAGTAAGCATGCAAACAATTTTCATTGGTTCGGCTGTCTCTCTGCCGTCTTGTATAATTCAACCAATCATGAAACTGGTCAGGTGTGGTTGCGATTTCTCTGCATTTGATTGGTTCATTTTTGTAAATTCGTGCTGGAAGAAAAATCATACAAGCGCAGTTATTCGTTTATTCAAATATATTATTATTATTAATATTATTCTTTTCGTGAGAAATAAAAAAAGATTCTTTTTTCTTTTAAAAAAGAGCAATAAAAGGGGAATGAAAACGATTGAAAAATCTTTTGTTTCATTTAAATCGTGGCAAAGACACGGCGTTTGATATTATTATTATTATTAACACATTACTGCTAGTGAGAACAATCTGAATTAGCATTCATTCTATTCACTGACCAATTAATTTGAACTGAATCCGTATACATACCTTTGAATACACAGAACGTGGTACAACACTCTTAGTGTGTATTAAGTTTTGTAATATCTGAAGAAAAAGGTAGCATCAACGAAAAATATAAAAGATCAAGATAACCTGTACATACCTATACGCATATATTAAATTATCAAGTACATACAGTTAGAAAATTGTCTATCTGACATATATATTGATACATATTTGTACATTCCTCTGTAAAAAAAAGTATTTTTTTGATGAACAAGACATAAAAAGTTCCAACAATACATATATCCTCATTTATTAAAATATTTATGTTCCAAATATCGAAATTACTTCAACAGTCGACGCTGAATATCCATGATGACTGCATTAACTGTAAAGTTTGAAGCTGACTTCTCAGATCAAGAAAAGAAGATAGGTTAGTTTGCTTTTCAATGATTTATTATTACTATTGTTACTATTATTTCCGTTCTGTGTTTGTGCTTATCATGAAGCAAGATCAGTTAGAAAAGCATTAGAAACCTAGAAACAGTAGACATCTGTTTCACCCTAGTAAGGAACTCCTCGGCAGTAAGCATCCACAACTCTCCTACTTTTTTCATTATCATTATTACTGTCAGTAGTAATGTGAGTAGTAGTAGTAGCAGTAGTGCAGTAATAAGGTGTTCTTTTTAATTTAGTCTGTAATATATAACGTTACCTTGATTTCGAGTAGGCTGTAGGTCGTTGGTTTATCATGAACTTTTGACAGAAATCCGCTTAGTATTAAATATCCATCAGTCGTGTATTTATGTGATAGTTTATCGATTATTTGGACACCTATATGAATGCTCACTTAATTATCTTCTATAGTCTACTCCAACTTATTGATTTAAACTGTTTTATAGTATGAAAACTGATTCTTATTTCTAAAGACACAAAGTTAATAACTTGAAGAATAGTAACTTAAATCACCCTATTTTGATAAATATCTGGCTGTGACAGAAAATGAGGAAGTTAAACTATGCCCCTTTCTTTCATTACTCACCTCATGAAGTGCTGTCCTCATTTGAAGGTGACAGGTGTTAGGAATCTATTGGCAGAGAACTCTGATGTCAATCAACAGCATGTAGTATATGTAATATAGAAGAAACTCATGTCCCGTCGGAGGTTTGGACTTGTCCACTTCTTCTACGTGGATTGTTAGGAATTATGGCACTTCTGTGAAAGATTGTAGATTGATTTGTATCTTTACTCAAGTGAATTCATTTACTAACTGTTATATTACAGTAGTGCTGATTTATCTGTACATCCTGACTCCAGTGTCTTACAATCTCCTGGCATAAAAATCCATTTTCAAGGCTACATGACTTTCTAGTGTGATGGCAATAATATTAGTGTAACATTATAGACATCAGTTTCAGAGTCATTGAAAACCTGGGAACACTGGACAGTTGTTTCTTCCAGAAGTCGGAAACTGTGAACTATCCGACTCCAACCGACTGTTCACCCCGACAGGTCAAGTTCCTCAGCCTGATCCCTGGCGAGGTCATATACTAGGATGAAGCAGATGTCGAGTGTCAAAGACCTTCATGTCTCTCAGCGAATGGGTTATTCAGTCAGCCATTGAGTCAGTGTTCAGGAGTTCTCAGTTTTCTATTTCTGACCCCCAGTGTTCTCAGGGTTTTCAATGCTTTCCCGACTGATACCAGTTCGTGATGACTACTTTCTTAAAACAAATCATATTTCTATGGAACTCAAACTAGGTATACTGTTATTAATGAGAGAAATAAAGATGTTTATGAGGCTACTGGTCAGAGAACTTGTGTCACAAAAGAATTCAAAACCTATGACTTTCCAGTTACTTGTTTAACGTTAGTTCCTGGTACCTTTTAAGGTTTCGCTTGGCTTTGAAGTGTTCACGAATATCTCTTAACCAAAAAGAAACTGCTTCAAACAATAAAACCACTTAAAATCAATCGATATTTCACTCTAGGCAAGTTAGTCTCCTGTGAATCAGAGCAAGAGGACCGAATTGGGTAGGCAGCTTCATCGAGAATAGACAATTACATAACTTCTATTTACATTGTAACTCACTACAACCACTTATTATTTACATCAGACTGAGATGTAATCATTTTCTCAGTGGTGTGGATTAAGTGGTAAAGTGTTTATACACAATGAACGCGCTACTGATTTTAAAAACTTGGGTAAATTCAATTTTTCATCAAAATTAAGCAACATCTCTATATATTCCTCATATTATTAACTTGATAAATATGCATACAATCCAATGTCGGATCGATTTCACTCTGATTGATGCTCACTTGTTTCTTGTTGGTATTCACATGCAGTGATATCAGTAGGAACACCATTAAAAACTTGAGAACACAATGAGCAGATATTTCGTCCTAGCATAGAATTCCTCAACAGTCCACACCCCTCTAGTGATCAAGATATATATAGTTCATTGGTTTCTGTATATATGAGATAGGATACACTTTACTCACTTGTAAATAGTGAAGTCACAAATTGAGCTCACTTTGATTGACTAGGCAAGCATTGCTAGTTCTTGTAAGATGTCTACAACTACTGAAGTCAGTCACTAGTGTGTTTATCCTATAAATACGCATAAAAAATGCCATCAGTATTTGATGTTTTACTATTTAAAAAGGATACATTTATGTATGTCCCAAATAATTGGAATTCAGGTTGGTATTCGTCACGAAGTTGAAATCAATAAAATCCCCACCAAACCTCCAAAATTGAATAATTAGAATGATTGAAAAGTAAAATGACCAGAGTTTGATTTCTTCTAAGCTTTGATATTCTATTTCTGACATTTCATGGCCAGAGACAACGATGATGATGAAGGGTTTGTAGTGAACAACATCGTTCGTTGCGATGGATGTATATTTAGCTGACGAGTTTCCAATAGGACGAAATTCGTGTCCTGGATTCCGTTGTGGGCTTCTAATTAGGCAACAAATCTAACTTTTGCCGTTTTTGAACCTGTTACATTTGTGTGATTAGCGTCTGTCAGCCTCTTAGTATCCTTGTTTGGTCATTTCAGTATTCCGCTACATTTCCTATTTATATCATTTCTTCAACAGCTGGTGTAACAATAGGGTTCAGAATGTGAATGTGTTAAGATTCTTCATTACAACTAAATTACATGCTATTCTGAAGAGTCCCAAGTGGAACGAAACATGCGTCCTGGATTTCACCACTTGTGCAACAGCACCAGTTAATATTCATTCATACTCGATGCACAAGTGGTGGCTCTTATGCCCCAATGGCCTAGTGGATAACGTGTTGGCGTCCGAAGTGATAGGCAGTAGGAGCCACGTTACTCACTGGGATGCAGATATATCCAACTAACGACTTCGAAATAGGATGAGACGCGCGTCCTGGATTCCACTGTTAGCCACCGACTAGACTACAATTCTATTCTAACCATTGTTTTAAACTGTTTGTCAATCGTAGAACTCAACATTGGTCAGTGAATGAGTGTATAAAGAAATCAAGAATGTATGGTGTATCACAGTCATCCTTAACTGATCATTCACTGATTGGGTTTAGTTCCTAATGGTCATAATAAATCCATCGTATGAAACTGGTAGATAAGGTATCAGCCCTCCCAATCTTTAATGTGTATAGCTAACTAGACATTATTCGAATTCCGTCTTGTGCTCAAGTCATAGATACAACAGAAATACTGATGAACTGATTACACTGACCAATCATTATTCATAGTGTGACTAAAAGACGAAGTGTATCTGAACAATGTGATACATTTGTACAATACACATTTCCATTCTGATTACGTCACACCCCATTTTGTTAGTGGGTGATGATTGAAGGTGAATAAAAATCTTGACTGTTGTACGGTTCAAACTAGTGACTTCTGGGTTTACCTGTTTCCATGTGTGTGTGTGTGTGTGTATTCACACATACATAGGGGGGGGGAGTGATCGAATCATACAGTTTAGGGTGGGAGAACATGTACCTAAATGTCCTCGAAGGTAGATGGAGTGAGACAACCCTCTTCATCTGTAGGCTAAATATCTTATAGAAGCAGGTCACAAAATTGGTGTTGGACGTAGGAACAGTCAGGGATGTATATCAACATTTGCAGAAGCGATACCCGTACACAAATTGATACCATCTTTATGTGTGCAAAAACAGTTTGTTCTTACACTACACTCAACTTGGTAAACTTTGTTTTCTTACTAGGATTAGGATTACATCAAATCTATCATTCTTCCTTTTATGTGCTTCTTAATTTTAATCTCTTCTTATCATAACTGGTCCATTTGATCACGGGAGGTCGATCGTGGCTCGAACAACTCGAGCAACACCAGACGACGTGGGTTCGAATGTTAGGTGGGACATCACTCCCGTCCAGGCTGCAGATACGTCCTGCTTACAAGTGCCAACAAACATGAAACCTAAGCCCAGAGCTTTCTGTCGACTACCACCAACCAACTAACATGTGTTCCGTTTATCCTCCACTTTTTCCGTTTAGTATAAGTTGGTTTTAGGTCGGAATTCATCGTGGACTGACACCGATTGAAAGAACAGTATGGGACTACCTACCCAACATTGCGCACCCATGGCCCTGAAAACGATCGAACCCAGGGTCTTCAGGTGCCGCAGCCACCACGTTACCATTGAACCACTGGGTAGGAATCCAGTGGTACATATTTCCTACTTCTGTCGGTTCACGATATTGCTCGACCTACGTCCAATGTAGTCGTTGAGTAACTGTCCTCATGTTTAACTTTGTTGGTCTCGCTGGTCACGGCTTCTCGTCGGAACTTCAGGAATCACCTCTCAAAGCTAGTCACTAATGAGCACTAGATTAATTCTATCTGATGGTTTATGGAGATTTATTAATTGATTTCAGTTGGGATTCATCATGACTGACATCAGTTGGAGGAAGATTGGAAATCTGGGAGCACTGGACAACTGATTCCTCCTAGTATGGAGCTCCTTACCAGTGTTCAGCCATGATGAATTCCAACCTGGATAGATTGTTCGAAATGTGTATTGTGTAAATATATCCTTGCTATTCAGATAGACATTATCTAACTACGCTATACAAATGTAGAGAAGTGGTTAATCGTTTTAAACCTTAAATAGATTGCCTCTTAGGCGATAGTAACAGCACCATTCACTGAGGTCTCAGTTACCTACTGTTGATCATAAAGTGGACTAATTGTTTTAAAATACATCCAAATGATGAAATTGATGAAAAATAGTGAAACAGACATTGTCTTTATTCATATTGGCTGAATTCTTTTAGGTGGTCAAATGACTGATCTAACCGATTTCCTTCACTGTTACTTAATAGGATGACTTTGGGGATATTCAGTTCAAATCCGAGGTCGATCTACTTAATAATTAGTGTTGAAGATGAAACAGTATTGGGAAGTT